TCGGGTTAGGGTGGAGCTGGGAACACCAGCAATTAAGAGGTGGTTCCACGCTCCTCAAAACCTCCTGATCATAAGTCTTGCTGTTGAACGTAGTTTATCGTCTTACCCAGGACTGGAGGAGGAGGAGGATAAGAAATACGTGAGAAACAAGAAAGAAAGAAAGTGAAGGGGGAGAATGAGAATTTGAAAGAAGTGAGAAACAAGACAACACAAATTGAAGGGAGTTGTTTTTTAACAAATGAAAAGCATACTTCCCTCTTTATCTATAGTTTTGTATATCTTTGTTATTCAATTATTTACATGTGGAGTATTGTCCTCATTTTTGTTATCACAATGTTTCAGCCATGGTACCTTCATCAGGTTTATATCTATCTGAGTAACTTTTGAATTTTGAATTGAACCCTTTATTTAATCTGCAGTAGTAGATTGTTTTCTTCCATATCTAGGGATATCTTGTTTAGTATTTAATATTTATTATTTAATACCAGCTAGTTGTCACCCATTTTGTTATTTAAGTTAACTCACCTACACCATTCTTTGCTAAATACTCAAAATACATTATGCAAGATTCAATGGTGGTCTAAAAATATTAATTTTTTGATGTATGATGGATGTAAAATAATTAAGTATAACTCAAGACTTCAATGTTAAATAAAACAGTATTTAATCACAACTGCAAATAGACACTTAACAAGAACAAAGAAGTAAAAGTCAACTAATGATAATTAACCAATTTAGTGAATACCTTGTTAGTAGCGCGGCTCGACTAACATCTGGTAAAACCTAAATCAGAACCTAAATTATTGATGCACAATAATACACACTAATTCAACTGGATAGTTCCACTCAATAGTCACACAATAGTCACTGCAATCATGCCTGACACCACAATTTATACACCTGGCAGAAAATATATATTCATAAGTCCAGAGTGTCACACTCGAACCTTGTTGTTGATAGTTACTCATTTTCTTCCTATATAACAATTAATAATTGCAATCTAAATTATAATAAAATTTAACAATAAAAACAGGATTGTTAATATTTATAATCAATTCTTCTAAGCATTATGGCTAATGCTAACCTCCGGGATAAGAGAGTAACTGTGCATTCTTAATCTAATGTTTTCCACTGACATGAAATGGAACAATCATATTGAATCAACTGCTAAGTCTTCTGCTAGGAAAGCTGGTTCACTGTGTTGTGCTAGACAAATTTTCTTTCAAGATTCTATCTTCAACATTTATAAGTTTACCATTCATCCAGGCATTGAGCATTTCCACCGCATCTGGTTTGGTGCTTATGTGACGTACAGGGTGCGATAGATAAATTGTCATCTAAAATGCAAAAATGAAAATAACACTGACATCTCATTTTAACAGATATATTTACTAAAATTACACAAAAATACCTTGAAATATTAAAGAGTAAATTTATTCAATAAAATCTCCATTGGCTTCAATCATGGCCTCCAGACATCTTCGGAATCTCCTGCAACTCTTCTGGACAGTCTCCTTGTTTAAGTTGGTGAATGCTGCTATACTCTTTGCTTTCATCTACAAGGAGTTTTTTGGTCTCTTGCTCATCTGTGCCCAAACACATAACAATCAAGGGGGTTGCAGTATGGGGAGTTAGGTGGCCAGATGTAAGGGGTTATGTGGTCGCAGAAATTATTTGACAGTCATGACTGTGTTCTCCTGCTTGTGTGGCATAGTGCAGAGTCCTGTTGCCAGACATAGGATCTTCCAGCAGCCACCCTCTTGATCCAGGGCAGCAGTAGCTCCTCAAAAAACTTGATGTAGACTTCTGTGTTGAGTCTGAGGAAAGAAAGAAAGCCAATGAAAAAAAAAGTAAAAAGAAAGATATCCACATATGGTCTGGGGCTCCTGTAATATATTTAAAAATTCTTGATTAAATCCAATAAAGAATCTGCAATGTCATTGGTTCTGACCTAGCATCTCAGCTTCAGTCACTTTTCTATTGCCGTAACTTAGCTTCCCTGTGACTTTTCCATAAATACTTTCATGGTAAATGTTCTGAGGAGCTATCCTCCATGGTACCTAGACTTTAAATGGCTAAATGTAACTGTAAATTCTATGCTAACAGCTTCTTCTCTTACACTTCTCACTTGTGGAACTCTCTTCCAGCTTCTTGCTTCTCAGTCAAGTTTGATCTTCAAAAATTTAAATGCAATGTCAATCATTATCTTCTGTTCCTGTTCTTTTATTGGTCTCACTCCTTAATAGTGTTTTTCTTTTCGTATAATCTTTCACACTCAGTAACCCCTTGCATCATAGTAGTTTTATCAATTTGCTTAGGGTGAAATGATTAAAAAAAAGAAGCCAATGAAAAGAAAAAGAAAGAATAAAAGGAAGAAAGCCAGAGAAAAATAGAAAGAAAAAGAAAGAAAGAGAAAAAGAGAAAGAAAAAGAAAAATGCCAGTGAGAAATAGAAAGAGAAAACAAAGAAAGGAAATGAAAAAAAAGAAGGAAAGAAAGAAAGCCAGAGAAAAAAGGGGAAAAAGAGAAAAAGGAAGAGAGAAAGAGAAAAAGGAAAAGAGAGAAAGAAAGAGAAAAAGGAAAAAGAAATAGAGAGAAAGGAAAATAAAAAGCCAGTGAGAAAAAGAAAAGAAAATGAAAAAGAGAGAAACAGGAAAACCCAAAATAAAAAATAAAGAAATAGAGGAAAGAAAAAAGAAAAAATGAAGAGAAAGAAAGAGAAAAAGAGATAGAAAAGAAAGCACAAAAGAAAAAGAAAAAGCGATAAAAAAAGTAAAAAGAAATAAAAAAATAAAGAAACAAACAAAGAAAGTGAAAGAAAAAAAATGAAAAAAGAGAGAATGTGTACCCCTATTGGTTTCGTAATTATTGCTAGTTTACCAATTCTGTCAAAAGGCAATAGCAGTACTTAAGTAATTTTTCAATTCCATTGCTTATGAGTCTGTCTATATTTCTGAGATGTCCATTGCTTATATTTTCTACCTGAGTAATCAAGGATTTTTTATCTATATGCTTAACAGTTGTATCATATAGGAAAGAATTCTTCTTTTTGAGTTACAAAAAGTAAAAATATCCAACGAAAACTAACATAAAACAAAAGAAACAAAAAAAAATATACAGCAACTCATTTTCATTACTTACTAACAAGATATTCTGTTGTTATGGTAACACAAAGTCTTTTTCACTTATTGATGTTAAGAAATGCCTTCTGCTACCATGACAACGGAATATCTCATTAATAAGTGAGAACAATTATGCTGAATAGCTGATAAATATATAGTCACATTGTTTCATATTATAGAATGGATTATTTGTTTCTTTCTTTAGCTCTTTTTATAACTTTCTTTCTCTATTTCTCTTTCTCTTTTTCATTCTTTCTTTTGTTCTTTCTTTCACCAGCCACACTCTTTGTTTTTATTCTCTTTTCCTTTCTGCTTTATTCTTTCTTCCTTCTTTTATGTTCATTTTGTCATCTGCTCTCTACCACACTCCCTCTCTTTTTTTTTCCTCTTTATATTTTCTGACCTTTTAATACTGTTTTTTCTCTCTCTCTTCTCATCTTTCCCTTTTCTTTCTCCTTGATCCCTCACTATTTCTCTCAGTCTCTTCTCATTTTCTCTTCTGTTCATCTTTCTTTTTATTTCTTTTTTTTTTTTTTTTGAACAACATCCTTACAACATCCTTTTCTTTATCATTTTCATAATTTAATGATTTCTTTCCCCCTAACTTCCTGCTTCTCTTTGGCAACCATTTCATCCCAATTATCCCCCTCTCTTTATTCCCCTAACATTTCCACTCACTGACTCTTTCTTCTACTTACAACATATTAATACCTTCCTGTCAATAATCCTCTTATCTCTACCTTATAAGCTCTTCCTCCTCCTCACTCTTATCACTTACACTCTCCTTTTTTCACCACTTTTTCTCTCAGCTAAAATCAATACATAACAATATTGTAGTAGTTACATGTTATCCTTCTCTTCCCTCCTCAAGTGTTAAACAGTTTTCCTCCCAACTATTCATCTCCTCCCCTTCTTTTTCACACCATCCTCTTCCTTTACCTATCTATATCTCGTTTCCCCTGACACAACCTTCAGGTTTCCCCTGTCTCCCTTTTCAATCTCTAACATTATCACCAGCTTTCTTCTCCCTGGTGCATCTTTTTCAACAGGAACAGGAGCTATTATTCATACATACCATGTGTACTGATCAACTCTGCTAATACTTCTACCTATACTGCCACCTTTGCTTTGTCTGCTGCTTCTACAGCTGCCAGTACTGTTTCTGTTCAAGTTGAAAGTCCTACTGCCATAACATCTGTTTGTATCTACTGCAGCAGCAGCAGCAGTAGCAACGGTACTACATACAGATAACACTATTTTAAATACTATATTATAGATTTCATTGCAATCTATTCCTGCTACAGGTTTTTTTTTTCTTTCTGTGGCTTCATACTGATTCTATCTTATTGTCTCCTTCGAAATAATTCTTTCTGTCTGTTATCTTTTGAAGAATCCTAATTTTGGTAAAAGAAGCACAAATTATCTTCTGCTTACCTTATATAACCGTTAGAAAGAAGAAGAAGGAAAAAGAAACAGAGCATGTCTTATACACAAAATCTACAAGTCAATCAAGATAGATGATGTAAAGGGGAGTTTTGATTGTTATCCACTTAAATTTAATTTCTTATTTTTGCATCCCCCTTTTAACTGAGTATTGAAAAGTAACTCTCACTCAGCAAAAAAAAGAAGGGAATTTTACATATAACAGCAACAACTAACATGTGTACAGAATCAATTTTTTAGACATTTTGCACCTATCCATACTTCCACATAAAAAGACAAAATCCAAGACACGTATAGATGCTCACTGACAAATCCACTACTGGTAAATTCAAATGCATGATTATTCTACATGGTTTTTACTGAACAGTTAAGACAGAATAATTTCAAACCCATAAGTTTTTAAAAATTCTAACAGAGAATTTGAATATTAACAGGTATGGTCAAAGGTGGCGCCACTTCTGTAAACATTCATTAAAGAAGTTTGGAATTGCATTAAAATATTTTTGGAGTGCACCTTAAACTCTGGACAGCACTTTCCAACATATATCTGAAATTGTTATATATGAAAAAATTGCATATATATTTATACCTCTGTTTTTGCAACATCACTTTTGGATTCTTTGATTTTAAATTGTATGTTCAACTCCATCAGCAACTATAAAATAATAGGTAAGTTGTGTTTTTTATTTATTCATTTATTTTTTTAAATTATTTTCAATGTCCAAATGTCAACACATATGTCACCAGAGAAAATTTAATCTATAATTCAGATATACACAAAGGCATGTATTTTTTTTTTTTAAATTGCAACGGTTTTTATAACTCTTTTCTTTTTTTACTGTTATTTAAAGTCTGTGATCTGACTGATTACATCTTAGCTATTGTGGGAATCACCAATTTTATTAGCTTTTATTTCTTTTATAGCTATATTTTTCTTACTTTCATATATGTATATAAATATATATATGTGTGTGTATATATATATATATATATATAATTAATTATAATTATGTTCTTTTTTTAAAAATATGATTTATTGTGGCACAGAATATTTCTATGTTTCAAAATTGAAACTAAGTTTATGAATTTAATTTTAAAAACTAAATTATAGTTTGTTTTCATCATCAAGAATATAATTGTTTTTATCGTATATTATTGATATTATGAGTTTTGTTATGTTAATGAAAATCTATTTTAATTTAGGAAAT